CTCATCACAGTAAAAAGTTTTTGCACAGCAAAAGAAATTATCAATAAAGTGAAAAGACACAGAGTGGGAAAAAGCTTTAGACAATTGTCCCACATACAAAAGATTTTTAGTTAGAATGTATAAAGAATTAAAAATCAGACCCCCTAAATTCAATGACCCAATAAAAATGGGTATCTGAGATGTATATACACTTCTCAGATGAAGAAATATAAATGGCAAATAAATATATGAAAAAATGTTCAACATCACTGGTTACTTGATAGATGCAAATTAAAGCAACACTAAGATTCCATCTCACTGCAGAAAGAACAGCTATTATCAAGAAATCAATAACAAAAGCTGAATGAGCTGTAGAGAAAGAAGAACACTTCTCCACTGTTGGTGGGAGTGTAGACTGGTACAACCATTGTGGAAATCAGTGTGGAGATTCCTCAGAAAAACAAGATTAGAGTTCCCATTCCATCAAACTATTTCCTTTCCAGGTATCTTCCCAGAAGAATTAAAAACATTGTATCACAGCAATATGTGTGCACCCATGTTTATAGCAGCACAATTTGTAATAGCCAGGGGCTGGGGATTTAGCTCAGCGGCATAAGCGCCTGCCTTGCAAGTGCACAGTCGTGAGTTTGATCCCTGGTACCAATTAAAAAAAATTTGTAATAGTCAGATCTTGGAAATAATCTAAATGTCCGTCAACTGAGGAATGGATAAAAAAGATGTGGTATTTTTGTACAATAGAGTCCTACTCAGGTACAAAGAAGGGCAAATTCAAGAGTTTTACAGGTAAATAATGCAATTTGTGACTATACTCATAAGTGAAATAAATCAGACTCACATACATAAATGTCATAAAGTCTCCCTGGTGTGAAAAACTGAAACAGTAAATATGTTCTAAAATGTACAGTAGATGTTGTGAAATGGGAAGAAACTGCTCAAAAGGAAAAAGGATCTATAACGGTTGAAAGGGGAAAGGACAATAGGGAAATGGGAAAAAGTGCAACTCAATTACACTATTAGTGTGTCTTAATTCATTAAAAAAGAAGGGTTGAGCTAATATCAATTGGAAGAAATATTCATGCTTTCATCTTGTACCTTGAGCAACTATTTTAAAGATAGCAACATATACTAACAATTGTCATTTTTCTATTATTTTGTTATGAAATTGTGTTTTAGCTTTTTCCAAAAATAAATAAACTGTGAAATACAGTTCATGACAAACTAAAAAGCCCCAGATGTCTGAAAAACAAACAAATAAACAAACAAACAAACAAATAAAAGGATTGGGGATGTATAGCTCAATATGAAAGTCCTACATTCAATCTCCCGCACCACAAAAATAAAATAAAAGTAACTAAAAATAATAATTACAATTTAAAAACTCTTACAAAAGTAGAGGGTATGAATATTTTCTAAGTCATTCTATGACATAATTGTTGCCCTGATACTAGACAAGATAAAATTTTTCAAGAAAAATAAAAGTAGATAGATATCCCTTATGTATAGACACAAAAATCTTCAAAAAAGAAATAAATATGATGCTTGGTCCAGTACTGTATCATACATAAAAACTAAATGAAATTCATTCAAAAAATGCAAGTCTAGTTAAACATCTAAAATCAATAAATATAATAAAATGTCATTAATAAAATGTAAGGAAAAAACCACATGATTGTATCACTAAACACAGAAAATACATTTAATAAAATGGAAACTCCTTTGACCTGATAAAGAATAAACACAAGTGGAAGCTATTGATTCCACATTGATTCTTTCCTAGGGCCAGAAACTAAACAAGAATGTTTAATTTTGATGCTATTTCAATTATTGTACTGAAGATTCTAGACAGGCAAGTAAGAAAAAAAAAGCCATAAAGCCATTCAGATTAGAACATTGGAATGAAAAATAATTCATCTCTATTCATGGGTACAATAATATAATATATAGTATTCCACATACCAAAAGAACCACATACCAAAAGAATTTTAGAACCTGATTATATGTAAAGATAAACTATTTATGGGTTGGAATATCTAATATAGTTAAGAGAGTAATACTGCACAAATTGACCTACAGATTCCCAGAAATCTGTATCAAAATCCTGATATCTTTGCAGAAATTGATGAGTTTTCCCAATTTAAAGTATCGAGAATAGCCAAAAATATCTTGAAACGGTGAAAAAAATTGGAGATCTTACATTTGTGTATTTTCAAACTTCTTGCAATGTTGCAATAATCGACACAGTCTTGCAGTCTCTGCAGTGACATAAGGACAAATATGTAGAGCAATAAAATAGAATTAAGAGTGTAGAAGTAAACCCTCACATTTATGGTCAATGGATTTTTGATAAATATTCCAACATCATTTAATGGAGGAAATAGCAATTTCTCATGAAATGGTACCTGGACAACTGGATATCTACATGCAAAAGAATGAGTTAAAACTGATCACATCACTGAAAATTCAAAAGGAATCATAGATCTAAGTGTAAGACTAAAACCATAGCATTTAGAAAAAAAACCAGAAGAGTAAATATTCACAACCATGCATTGTTTTCTTAGATGTGACATCAAAGGTACAGGCAAAGACAAATAATTTGAAATTAATGACAATAAAAAAAAAACTTGTGGTTCAAAGGACACCATCAAAATCTAAAAGACAACCCACAGAATGAAAGGATATATTGGTGGGATGTGGAATATATAAATTTCTTTTATAAGTGAACAATAGATAGATAACCCAATGTTTTGTTCTCAATAGGCAATTTACCAAAGTAGCTATACAAATGCTATGCCAATGGAAAGATACTCAAATCATTAGTGATTATGGGAATGAAAATTAGACTACAGGAAAATACTTCATGTCAAGTTTATATCAGGAAGCCATCATGACAAGCTTCTCCTGGAGACTGAATGGCATGTATCTTCCATTCTGGAGTTAGGAAGTGATGCTCAAAGTAAGGACCAGAGCTCCTCGAAAGTGAACCAGAGCCATTCTCAGCAACTAGGTGCTGAGCTCCTCTGATGACAATAGCTGAGTTCATATCAGGGGAGTAAGCTTGACAAACTCCTCAAGGAAAACCAACATCTCCAAGCAACAACAACGCTTAGGAGAACCCACAATGCTACCCTTTCTCTCCAGGTCTTCTTTTTTATGCTGGCAACTTTCCTCAGGTGGGCCATCTACACTCAGCACCATTCTGATTTGGTTCAGCTGGTGTTTAAGTTGACCACCAGCTTTTAATCCACAACTGCCATTAGATATCCTGTGAGATCTGATGCCTGTGCAAGGTAGGAAGAATGAGCCTGCTCTATCTCTTTCATTACCTTTTCAGAGTATTTCAAGTGTCTGGGAACACTGATTAGCAGAAGACTCCCTTCTTCCTGAGTCCTAGATTCTAAACCTTCCTTTCTCTAAGATTGGACAGGCCAATCCCTCTTTGAATTGTAATTGAGATAAACTTCTAAAATTAGAACATGAGTCTGGCTCAACTATCTTGTGAGCTGAGCACAAAAAGATAACTTTGAATTTTATTCCTGATAAATTGTAGTAACATTTGACTGAAAAGAATGCCAGACATTACATGGTGTTATGTCAAGGAATCCATGTTGCTAGTATAGGTTGAGTATTCCTTATTAGAAATGCTTGAGACCACAAATGTGTCAGATTTCAGGGTTTTTTTTTTTTTTTTTTTTTTTTTTTTTTTTTTGGTTTTGGAATGTTTGCATAGAATTTACCTGTGGAATGCCCCTAATCTAAACAATCTGGAAGTCAAATGCTCCAAAAATCTGCAGCTAAGAAGGGCTTTATGCACATTCTTTTCCTTTAGGAGGCAAATAGGGACTTTAGCCCCGCAGGGACTTTAGGGAATCAAAAGGGCCATGTCACCATAAAGATTCCATCACAGAAATGGCTGTCATGTAAGGCAGAGTTACAAGGCACAGTGAGACAGGAATGCCCAGCAGATACTGAAGTATCCAGAGAAGAGTGATACTGCTTTGCTGCTGCTTAGAGTTGTTCCTGGGCCAAGCAAGAACTATCTTTAGTCCTTCTGAATGTTTGGCAAGACCCACAGCCCTGCTCATGCAAGAGAGATAGCTCAACACAGCTCACATCTTTAGCATGTCATCTGATCCACTGGGCAGTCCTGTGAGGTGACTATTTTCCTTATTCACAGAAGACAAGATTGAACCTTATAGCAATGGATCTGTTTTAAGCACCAGGTTGATTTCTCTAGCTATGAGTCCTGAAAGTAATTCAAATTTTACTTAGCTTGTATTTTGACAACAGAAATTTTAAGTGTCCTTACGCACTTACTTATAAACTCATTCAACCATTCAACTGCTTATTATACATTGTTTTCTTTTCACTCTTTTAAAAATATTATGATGTGGCAACTGCAAAATATATCCATTAGGAAAAGGAGATGAGTGAACAACAAAAAAGAATCATACATAGAGGAGACACAGGATGGCTAGGTACCAGAAGCGGCAGCAGTACCTATTGACCTGGTTGTATACCTAAGGAAGATTCTAGATGGGTATAGTAGTAGAGCAATGGCATGGAGTTACATAACTAGCAGGCTCATTTTGAGTGCAGGTGAGATCTATCCTTGGTCACTGTGTAGGAATAACCACTGCTAACTTTTTAGTGTACACACTTTCAGAGTCTTCCTTGTATAATTGCATTATGCACACATATTTACATTTTTATAAAAATAGGCTGATACTGTATATGTGGTTCTGCAAACATTTTTACTGTTGTTCTACATGCATATGGACAAAAACCCAGTACTGTACTAAAAGACAAAGTGCTATAGTTGGATCAAAAGGCTGCTGGTAAGGAGAGTCATACCTAAAGCAAAGTATAAGTTTGAAGTTTCTGCCAAGGTAAGCAGGGCCAACACTATGCTCATCAGCAAAGTCAGACTGTAAGACCAAAGGCATTAAAGGTATGGGATATCCTGCAAGCCTCTTTGGCTCTTACCTCCACCCCTCACTCCCCTAGGGCCCCTTGGGGGCCCCTTGGTGGTATGCATCCTGTAGCTGTATTCGCATCCACTGATAATCATTTACCCTTTGATCTTTCTTTAGCTCTTCCTGAATCCATTCCATATCTGTGTGCTGTCTCATCATCTCCATGCTGCTCAAATATCTGTCCTGTAAATTCTGACGGTCCTTGGGGGAATCCTCAGTCCCTCTACCTGTTTTTCTTCTTGCTTTGCAGGACACACAATCTTCAATGGGGTGCTTTTCAGTGGCCCACAGTGTGCTGACTGGCTGTGCCTGGGATTTTGGCCTGCCCTCCTGCTTTCCTTGTGTTTCCTGTTTGCTCTCTTCCCCTTGTCCCGCAACATCTGCCTCTCCTTTACCCTCTAGCTTTCTTTCAGGTGCTGGCTTCCCCTCAGGGGCAGGCTTCCCTTCCTCTTCTGTCTTTCTTTCACCTTCAGGCTCTACTTTGTCTTCTGCTTTTCCATCCTCTTCTGGCTTCCCTTCATTTTCACTGCAGAGATATTCCATGTGGTGATTTTGTCTTCTGCTCCTGTCCTAGGGGTAGGGGTGAAGGGAAGCGGAGACAAAGAGGAGACATAGGAGACTCAGGGGACAGGGGTGGAACCAAGGTCCAAAGAAGACTTGCATCTCCCTTGTGAAAGTTCTTTTAAACTGGCCTGGTATCCATCCAAGTGTGGCTTGTGGCTTACACTCACACCACATTCCACCTATACACTGAGAGCCAACAATTCACTGGCAGGCGCTGACAGAGCCAACTGTTCCCCTGCCTGGCAAGGTGTGTGCACTGTATGTGGTTGGGGCAGGCATTCTGGAGCCCTCATTCTGCCCAACACAGGCCTAGGGTTAAGTAGGGAGCAGTGCTCTCTGTACTCTCAACCCCCTGGGTCCTTGTGCACACTACTGACCTTCCACTGACCTGTGGGGATCTTGGGCAGGTTGCTCCTTCTTTTCAGGCCTCAGAGAGCTGGCCACAACAGATGTGCACACCTGCAGACACATAGGACATAGGGGCAGAGGCTGTGCACTCAGGGAGTTCTCAGGGACTTAGGTCCCTTTTCGGAATCCATGTCTTCCTCACTGACCTTTCCCTTCCCCCACTCTACCCTCTTTCCTTTCAGGCCTTGTGCATTAACCAGGATGCCTTCCAAACTGTTTGGATTTCTGTGTCTTCTCCCGGAAACAGTCTGCCCCTCCCTTAACTTTCTTTCAGCTCAGGTCAGTTTGTCTCCAGAGGTGCTCCGTGTGAAAGGGCAGTTATTTCTCGAATGCATCTCCATTTCTCACAGCGCAATGCCTCCACTCTTTTGCCTGCTCAAAAGGGATAGAGGAATGGGGAAGGGGAGGGTCTGGAAGGCAGCAGGCAATTGTGGGGCTCACTCTCCCTTTCCCTCTGCCACCCTCACAACCCCTGTTTGCTTTGCTCCCCCTCCTCACCAGTCTCTTGCTGAGTCATTTCCCTGCCCATCCCCTTTGCTGCGACCCACCTCTACCTCTGCCCAGGATCTGCCAGCAGTGCTTGCCTTCTTACCGACTTTGGAGGATCCAAGGTGGATTTGTGTTTCCTTAGGCTGACAAGGCCTGCTCAAAGCTGGCCAGCCACTCTGGGCAGCTCAGGGATCTGGTTCTGAGGGAGCACAGGTACCCAACACGTTTGGATTTCTCCCCCATCCATAGCAAGACTCTTTTCTGACTTCAGTGTACCTCCTGAATCTGTCACCACTTTAGAATCTCATCATCTCTCATCTGAATTCTTAGAATAGCCCCTTCTTTAGTTTTCCCGCTTCTTGCTCTGCCCTTTACCCTTCCAGTAATCCTTAGATATTACTATCAGTTTTTACTCTTTGGTTTTGTCTCCTGCTTGAAGACCCTGGATAACAAGTCCAGCATTCACAGCATAAATCCTACATTCCTCATCTTGACATTAAAGCATTCTTAAGAATTGAGAGAACACATAGTACTAATCTAGTGACCAACTTCTCTGCTCCCACAGATAGGATCTGTAATCCTCATCATGTACCCCTTAACAAAGGCTGCCTTCTATCCTTCTCTCTCTGTATATATGTGTGTGTTTGTGTTTGTGTTTCTATGCATGCACTTAGAAAGTGTTAGATCCTCAGCAAAGTGGTCAGATGTGGCAGATTAGATGAGGTCCTCTCTGCTTTAATGGTTCCCATGTTGATATGTGGTGATTTACTCAGAAATCTGTCTCATAAGAAGCTGTTTTTTATTTGGATCATAGTTGAATCTGCTTTCCATGTGCACAAAACTTAAAGCAGAAATTTTATTAATTTATCTTCTGTTTTGTTATTAAAAAATGAATCACATTGTGAAAGAACAGTGATCCCTGAACCCATGCATCTAGATCATGGGTCCCCTACTAGCATCCTTACATTCCCTCCCTTAACACTCATTATTAGGTTTTGTAATTGGCTTTTTCCATCTCTGTATCCCTGTAATCTCCTTATAGATGTAGACTGTGTGATACTTTGCATCCTCTTGTATGGTTTTTCAAATACCCAGCTGATGAAAATAATCTAAATGTCCCTCACTAGAGAGTTAGTTACTAAGGAATGTTTTCCTGTCATTAAGAACATAAGGCTTGGGATGGTGATGTAGGTCAGTGGTAAGCACATGCCTGGCATAAACCTCTAGGTTAGTGTTACGGATTAAAAACTGGTGGTCAGTTTAACACCAGCTGAATTAAATCAGCATGGTGCTGAGTGTAGACTGCACACCTGAGGAAAGTTGCTAGCATAAAAGGAGATGTGGAAAGGAAGAGCAGGGCATTGTGGGTTCTCCTGTGTTTTTTGGAGCCATTGTTTCTACTGGAGGAGCTTGTCATGGCCAGCTTCCCCAATATCAATTTGGCTATTCTCATTGGAGCAGCTTAGGACCTTGTTGCTGAGAATGGCTGTGGTTCACATTGAAGGAGCTCTGATCCTTATGTAGAAGCATTGCTTCTGGCTCTGGAAGGAAACATCTTTGCTGTATAATCTCCAGGAGAAGTTGTCACGCTGGCTTCCTGATATTTACTGGACTGTTCTCTTTGGAGGCGCTCAGGACCTCATTGTTGCTGAAGATGTCTGTGGTACTTTTCAGGGGAGCCCAGGTTCTTATTTTGAGCATTGCTTTTTGGTTCCACTGCAGAACCCTCAACCCACTGGCATAGACTTTCTGGCTTTCACTGCTGACCTTTGGGCCTCCCCAGTGCAGATTCCTGTAACAGACTTGCATGACTGATTTTTCACTGGCTCTAGACCTCCAGTGGGTTTCGTGGAAGGCATTGTCATGGGCTCTAGGTCTTCAGTTAGACTAATGCAGGATATTATTGTGGGATTCAGGCCTTCAGATGGCTTTTCTAGGTCTTTTGTGTGTGGACAGATTTCCTGTATTTTCTTGTATTTAACTCTGGATGATCATCATGAAGTAATATAAATTCTGTGACCTGTATGCAATTATTTTCCTTGAAACCATTGACTACAACAGTGAGATCTCCAAGATCTATGAGAAAACAAAAACAAAAACAAAAAATTCTGTGGCTCTTTTTGTAATGACATAGAAAAATTTTCAATATGCATCAATTAAAATATAAAATAGCAGTATAATATGAATATCATATACATATGTAGACTTTGGTAATTATGGGATAGATGGATTCTTTTTGGTGGATGGATTGTTTCTGGTAATTATAGGATAAATGCAAAATGAAAATAAACTAGCCCTTATAAAGTCTTGTAGCTTGAGTTTAAAAAATTTTTTTTGAAATGGGGGATCTTACTACCTTGCTCAACCTGACTTTAAACTCCTGGGCTCAGGGGCTTCTCCAGCCATAGCCTGCCTAGTAATTAAGTTTATAGGTACAATCCGAGCCTGGTTTGTATTTTGGCTTTGCCTCATCTAGGTTGATTGGTAAACTTTAATCTCTGAACATAGGGTATGATTGTTTCACACAGGAAATACCATTAGGGTCTGACTAGTCAAATAAAATATTCCCTGGAGTAAGAGTTCGCCATTCTAGGCCTCAAATTATTTCAATAAACAATTGCTCAAGTACAATAGTCACAAATAAATAATAAAGGCATTGTTAGAGCCCTCCATCTCAGAGGTAGCACCATGGCGGCAGTTCAAAACTGTGCCCTGATAATACATAGTTCATTCTTCCCAGAATCCCCTATGGCTTCTCCCTCCCAAAAGTCTGTGCCAAAGCTAATGCATGTAAAGATTCACCCAATCCCCTGCACTCTTACAAAATAAATCAGCTCACATCAGTACCCAAAGCCCTTCCCTCATCAGAGCCTGTATCAAGCAGAACCTGCTCTTTGTCTGCAGAGAGCTGCCACATCCTTTTTTGTGGTAACTCCCGCTGTGCCCTCATTAAACTCTTTCTTATCCAGTTGCCTCCTCTCTTTTCATATTCTGCACTGCTCTAGATTGAGTACAAAGTTTCCACTCAGTCAGGCATGAGAAAAAGACATTATGCATAAGAATTAGTAAGAACAACAGGCAATACAAACAGATCCATGAATTTGGATTATTTGAATTATCCAACAAAAGATACCAGGACACCTTAGAAAAATGGCTGATTGTAGGAACTGAGCAGGAAACATACTATGTAAGGCAAAAACATCTTATAGTACCAAAAAAGAAGCAAATACACAAAGGCAAAAAAATACAGTACAACTATGGAGATAGGTCAAATGAATACAAATGAATACAGAAGCCAACTGAAAGAGCTCCTGATGAACAAAGGTGTAAGAATTTAAGCAACAAAATATATAAAATAGTGCTGCATTATACTCCAAAATATAGAATAATTATTAACCAGCATGTACTGGTATAAATAAATTGAATACATGAATAGATGGCGAATAGTCAAATGTTCTGTACAGAAGAATTATTTTTTTTTTGGTGGTACAAGATCTCAAACCCAGAGTTCTAATACATGCTGGGCAAGTGCTTTACCACTCAACTACATTTCTTGCCCTTTTTGTTTTTTGTGATACTCTTGCTAATTGCTAGGCTGGCTTTGAACTTGGATTCCTTCCGCCTCAGCCTCCCAAGTAGCTGAGATTATGGGGGTGTGCCATCATGCCCATCAAATTCCAAATACTTTCTACAGATACTCTGCCACCAATGAGGTAGAGCATAATGCCACACTATTTGAGTCCATGCTGCCAATAGTGATATAGGGGAAAGAAACTCCCAATCTGCTAGATGTCAAGTATGAGTTGATGTTCTCTGAAACTGAAGAATAAATTGTAGGAACAACAAAGATTGACAGCAGAATATATTTATTGGGAGAAAAAGCTTATGTCTAAGAGAAACAGAAGGGGTCTCTAGTGGGTTGCCAAGGACTCTCCTTTTTCAAGCAATTTTTATAGAGTAAAACCACAAGTTGAGGTGGGGACAAGGTAGGGAATAATGGGAAACCACAAAGTGGAGATGAAGTAGTGGACAAAACTATAGTCAATAAGATTATGAGCATAACTGCTTGGGTAATATTGATT